AAAAAAAAAAAAAAAAAAAAAGACAAAATTTAGTTAGTACACAAGTTAATCCATGACTCCTAAGAACAAATAAATACAGACAAGTACAAGTCTTACTGCAGCAAAATAATCACTTCACACAGATTGTTGAAGAAAAAGGAACAGGCAGTGACCCTTTAAATGATGACAATTGTTTCTGATCTCTAACATGATAAGGGGAGCAAGCTTGATAGCTAGAGATGGCGACCAAGGTAGGAACCAAATTTTTGAATTCATCTAACTCCACTGAGATCTTTATATTCCCTCCTATTTTTTTATGGTTAGCAATTTTCAGGTAGAAGTTTTAATTCCCCAAGGGAGAAAACTCAACCTCATTAAGTTTAGCAAGTTACTTTTTTCTATCCTAATGGCAAGTACGGAGAAAGAATTATCCCTACAAAAACAAGAATCAGGCATCCGTTTTGTGAGGTTTTCAATTTCACATCAACATGCAAAAGACAGGTAGAAATGACTGCCCACTGAGAGAGAACTCACCTTCCAAAAAAGCAAATTCATCCACAGCTTCTATTGCATTATCTGAAACATAAGGTAAAGGAATACCTGACTAATTTCAGCCATGCTGACGTCAGTCCCAAAACAGCACAATCTGCAGTGAAGGGCATAAGGCTTTGGGCAAACGAGCACATTTATAAGATGCGTCCCTTGTTGCCTTGATATCCATATCTACGCTACCAGCAACTCTTATATATATTAGCTGTCTCTCTAGAAGATTAAGAAAAGCATAGGCAAATCCATTCAATGTAGGGGGCTGGGAGGTTCCTAAATTAAACCTATATTATTTATTCACTTTGCTCTGAAAGTCATCAGAGAAGCATGTGGCAATACATGCAAGGAGCCTGAGAATACGGTCTATAAATGCTTACACAGGTGAGAGTTAACCAGCCAGACAAGAGTCAGAAATCAAATCCCCAGTTGCAAGTGAAAAAGAAATATCTTTTTCAGGTGCAATTTGGCAGAAAGTATGAAAGGATTCAGTCAGCTCTGGCAGCCCCAGACTCCTTCACACTCTGCCCCCAGCACCCCAAGCAGACAGACTCTACAGGCAGGGTTTCCTGGCATTGTGGCCAACAGAAACCATAATGGGGAGAGACGCTGTGGCACCTCTCAGATTAGAGTGATGTCTTCTCAATCTGCGCAAGGGGAATCCAGCCCCGCTCTCCCTTGTCTGTCCCCAGACACGCAGTGTCACTCTACCCAAGTCTCTCCTCTGAAGAGTTTTCCTTTTTCCCTGCTGAGCGCAGCAGTAGGCATCTTTTGCAATGGTCTCCACAAATAGCTCCTGTATAGTAAAAAAGCAAAGTTTTAGTAATGGGTTCTAGCACACTGAGGAGGTGAGGGCTCCAGTTTGTGAGTTGGGGCAGAAAGGGAGAAGAATGGCTCAGGGTCAAGAAAATGTTCTGGAAGTTAAGATTGTCCTGGACTTCATGAAGGTGGATTCCACTACCCTCTTCCCAGTATTCTCCCTCATTCACTAGAGACTCCTACAAGTTCTGTAAGAGGCCCTGGAGATACAAATTAGTCACTCACTATAGGGGTCCTCAACATGAGGCAGGAGAGTTAACACAACATACAACTCGCATAGGTTCCCGACTTCTTCCCTCCGCCTTCCGGGTCCACGCCCACATCTCAAAACCTTGCCCACGCCGCCCTAAGCCCCGCCCGCGCTCCCCTCCCCCACCCTCCGCGTGCCCTCCCGCTGCAGCCGCACCGCTGCTCGTGCCAGAATGAAGATGGCTTCCTGTCCCGCTAGCGTCACGTCGGGGTCCGCCTTCACCAAGGCCTTTACTCGCGCCAGAGGCAGCCTCGAGAGACGTGCCCCAGGCGCACTCGTTGGGGCTGCGGGCTGCGAGGCCGCTGTCTCCCCAGCGGTTCCGTCCTCCTCTCGGGGAGTCCCGCTTCCTGAAGCCACCGCCACCGCCGCCGCCATCCTGGCCCTGAACGTGCTGCGCGCGGCCGCCGACTGCGCGCGCACATGCGGCGCAGGCCCTTTCCCGCGCGGGCTGGAGGCCACACCCTGTGTTGGCGCGCGGCTCCGCCCCTACGCGCAGGGCCCTCCCGGGAATCCCGGTGGGCGGGGACCGGGCTCTAGCTCTTCCCGCGCGCCTGGCCACCCCTGGGCTGTTGTGGACTTGGTTGACGCCACCGGCCACCCTCTGGTCCCATTGGGCCTGTGGAGCCCAGGCACCGCACTTGGTGCCTGTGCGGGGCTGGTAAGAGGAGAAGTCTAGACCTGGCTCTCCGTCGACACAAGAGTGTTCATCCTCGCGGGCACGTGTCCGAGGGAGGCCGGGACATTCCCTGGAGGGCCCAGGATTGGGGAAGAGGGTGCCAGAAGGCAGCAAAATCTGGACCAAATTCAAGGATAACCAGTTATAGATGGTCTTGAAGGAGGGGTAAGGCTTTTGGCAGGCAGAAATGAAGAAATTCAGCCCAGGCAGAGGAAACAAGAAAAAGATGTGGAGGCTGGAAGGGATGAAGTTGTGATGAGGCATCCACGTTTGTTCAAAAAGTGGTTGCATCACAGCTTTGGGTCTCAAATTTGATCTCAAGATCCCTTTATGGTCTTAAAGATCATTAAAGAGCCTAAGGAGCTTTTTTTCTGTCGGTTATATCAATACTTACTGTATTGGAATTGAAACAAAGCTTTAAAATACTGATTTAAAAATCAGCTTGTAATTTATTACAAGCTAACATAAACATTTTTATGACAAGTGACTTTTTAAAAAATAAATCTGGTAAGAAAAGTCTAATGTCAGATTTCATGTGAGAACTGGATTCTCTATCTGCTTCTGTCGTTAACGTTAGCTCTTCTCAGGTAGCTCTGAAAAACTGTACTGCATCTCCTTAAGAGAATGAGAATGAAAAAAGACAACCTCTTGGTAGTATTAAGAAACTAACTTCATGGACTCCAGAAAAGGGTCTGTAGAAATTTCCCACCCCCATGAATCCCCACACTACACTTTGAGGTCTGATAGCATAGAGGAACAGTTAATATTTACAATCGGTTTAATCTAAGTCAATCATAATAATAGTGAACACTTTTGAGCATTTACTATGTGCATGATTCAAAGTATTTTATATTTATGTAAATCACACTTCTGTAATTTTCGTAATACCTTGTTGAGGTAAATATCTTAACCTTATTTTACAAAATAAGCTTAACCTTGTATTTCAAACATTTGAAACAAGGCGCAGAGTGGTTACTGAGTCACACACACTCGACAGAATGTGGTGAAGCCAAGATGAAGCTGAATTAAATGAAATCTGAAATTACTCCCGTCACTCTGACTGGTGTAGGGGTGGAAAGGTGTGACACCTTTCTTTACTCATTATCAGGGTCACAGCTGACACTCATAACACACAAATAGCTGTGTGGAAATGTGATTCGAGGCCTGGAACAGTGGGTCACACCTGTAATCCCAGCACGTTGGGAGTCCAAGGCGGGAGGACAGCTTGAGCCCAGGAGTTTGAGACCAACCTGGGTAACAGATGGAGACCCCCATTTCTAGAAAGAAAAAAAAAATTAGCTGGACGTGGTGATCCTATAGTCCTAGCTACTTGGGAGGCTGAGGTGGGAGGGTTGCTTGAGCCCAGGAGTTCAGGGTTACAGTGAGCAATGATTGCATCACTGCACTCCAGCAGTGGCAACAGAGACCCTGTGTCTTAAAAAGAAATGTGATTGGACAAAAAGGGAATGATGATGATCTAATGGTAATAGACTGAATGGGGAAACCCAACAAGGCTGGTCTGTTCATACTCTTCTTGGCCTTTCTGTGTAGCATTCCTTCTGGTATTAGGACAGGACTCTTCTGGAATAAGGGTCTCCAAGGGAGAAGGCAGAGAATAACCTTTCTAGGTTTTACAACTTGCTTGAAGGAAGGGGAGTTCTAGTTTCTATGACCTGCGTTGGGAAAGAAGAATTCTGGTTTCCATGACTCACTGCAAAGAGTGATGGTGTTACAGTGGGTAGCTAGTCAGACACGAACAGGGAAGGATAGGGCCCCCACACTCCAGGAATGTCAAGCAACCATCAGGTGATGGTCAGGCAGTGATCACACTGCCTCTCTAAAGTAATTGGTCACAGGCAATGCCAGGGAAAGGCAGTTTCCCTATAAATAGAAGAACCCTGAAACGTGATCAGCAGCTTCCTGATGAGATCTCAGGAGTTGGGCAAGCAGGCTCACACATGCACACTTAAAGGCAACATGGTGGAATTTAACTGGTATATGACCTTCTGGGGGCATTCCATTGAAAAAGGGAAGAAAAGGGAAGAAAGCCTCGGGTGAGCATGTGTGCAACTCCAATAAATACACTGCACATGCTCTCCTCCCCAGCGCTAGCAGACCATTGGGAAGAATCAGGGTAGAAGGGATGCAAGACCCCAGAAGTGTGCTAACATATAAAACCCCAAGTCAAAAGGTCAAACCTTGCACTTGTCCTTCAAGTCACCCTCTTGGGCCTCTTCCCAATGTACTTTTCTTCTTTTCGTTCTTGCTCTAAAGCTTAATGAATTTTCACTCCTGGTTTTAAAACTTGCCTTAGTCTCCTCTTTTGCCTTATGCCCCTCAGTCGACGGCTTTCTTCTGAGGAGACAAGAATAGAGGTTGCTGCAATTCGCTGTCAGTAACTTGAATAACTTCTACTGCTTACAGTGCAAAACAGGACAGGAGACGTTCACAAACACCTTACTTCTGAGACCTTTCCAGTTTTCTTCAGTTCAAAGTACTCAGCATTTTAAGGTACCATACTTTGGAATATCATGTTCTGGGCCCCAACCCTGAGTTAGCACAGAGACACTCTACTATAACAGAATAAGAGTCTTGGCCCAGAATTTAAATCTTCAGAAGAGGATATAAGTTGCTGAAAATTGAACCAGAGCTGCCAGTAGGGCCTCAGTCCTGAGTTGTCTTCAGATTATATTTGTGGACACTCACTCGCTCATGGAAAGCTCCACACAAAATTCATAAAAGCATGGCCAGATTCTTGTGTCACATTGCACGAGAACACTTCACAAGAGCTATAGTCCAGCAATCTCAAAGTAGCTAAGTACTAAATTGGCCTAAATTCTGAATTAACATAAGACAGTTGACAACGGTGGGTGTGTTAGCCGACCCTACCACTTACCCAAAGTTAGCCTTTGGGTTAAGGGTTTCGTCACTATAGTCCCTTTCGTGGTCGCCAGAAAAATGTTACAGGAAAGGGGTCCTGATCAAGACCCCAAGAGAGGGTTCTTGAATCTCACGCAAGAAAGAATTCAGGGTGAGTCCATAAAGTGAAAGCAACTTTATTAAGAAAGTAAAGGAATAAAAGAATGGCTACTCCATAGGCAGAGCAGCCTTGCCCATTTTTATGGTTATTTCTTGGTTATAAACAAAGGGTGGATTATTCACGCCTCCCCTTTTAAGACCATATAGGGTAACTCCCTGATGTTGCCAACATTTGTAAACTGTCATGGCACTTGTGGGAGTGTAGCAGTGAGGACGACCAGAGGTCACTCTCCTGGCCATCTTGATTTTGGTGGGTTTTAGCCAGCTTCTTTACTGCAACCTGTTTTATCAGCAAGGTCTTTATGACTTGTATCTTATGTCGACCTCCTATCTCCTATCTCATCCTGTGACCAGAATTCTAAGAATGCCTTAACCATCTGGGAAGGTAGCCCAGTAGGTCTCAGCCTCATTTTGCCTGGCTCCTATTCAAGATGGAGTTGCTCTGGTTCACACACCTCTGACAGGGGCAGGAAGAGTTAAGATTTCTTGAAAGGGCTGAGTCAACTTGGCTTTCAGAGGATTCTCATTTCAGCCCCCTTTTCTTCCCAGTTTTGTCTAATTCATATGTTCCTTGCCTTTCCTCCTTTTCTCCTTTTTTTCCCCCTTTGTGTTTTTTGTTTTTTTGGTTTCTTTTTTTTTCCTCATCACTTGAATGTCTCCCAACTTGACCCAGTCCCATCCTTCTCTCCCTGGTCTGACTATGACTAAACAAGAGTTTATGGAGACCAGACAAGACTTCCTATGAGTGTTCAACAGCACTAAGATGTGTTAGAAAGTGAAATCGTGTTTCACAGTTTTTGAGTTTCTGTGGAAAAAAGGAAGAGGAAACAGGAAGACAGAGGTTGAAAAGCTCAAAAAAGCCACACACAAAGTTTACGTTCCAGTTCAAATAGAATGAAGGCTAAAAATGTCTTTTAAAGGCTATGTGATGAAAATTAGTGCAATAAATAAAATGATGTGTGTTAAATGAAGGTTAGCCTAAAGCTGTTGCTGTACATAGTTTAATTTTGGCCTAAAGGTTTCTTCATATGTACAGAAATGCAAGGTAACTTGATGTGAAAATGGTCACCTACTCTTATAAGAAATAGCCAAGTTTCAGCCAATTACAGGCAGCCAGCTGGTCAAACCAGGTTCAAATAAGGCAAACTTCAAGCTGTAGCCAGTCCAGCTATTTCTGTATCACTTCTGTTTTCTGGACATCATTTTCCTTTCTCTCTCCATAGGTGTTTTCCTACCATGCAGCAGGCCTAGAGTCACTCTGGACCTGTTCTGTTTGTGGGGGCTGCCTGATTCAGAATCATTCTTTGCGCAATTAAACTCTGTAAAATTTAACTTGTCTAAAGTTTTTCTTTTAACTTGTGAGGTATTTTATGTAATAAACTAGAGATTAAAGACAGCTTGCCATCCACCCTACTAGGGTAAGTGTTCTATCCAGGAGATATGTATGTGGAGGAATCAGTAACACTACATTTCTGAATTATTTTTAAAAACAATCATATGTGTTGTATGTACATGTGTGTATTGTTAAAAGATAAACTTAGACACATTAACATTTTAAAGAGTTGATTTGAGTAGATAGATAGTGATTCATGAATCATGTAGCGCCAAACCACAAGTGGGGTCCGCGTTCCAGTGAGGTAGGGGGAGGGGAAATGTTTTATAAAGTATTTGTGGAAGCAAGACAAAGAAAATATTTGATTGGTTAAAGTAGAGCAATAGCCATAAAGTTTCTTGTTAGAGGGGAGTTGGCAGTGTTACAGAATGGCTGGGTTCCAGTTAAACCCCACCATTAAGCCTGGAACTGCAGCCCAAAGAGAAAACAGCTGACCCTGTTTTTCCACCCAAATGTAGTCTTTTTGGCCTGCCCCTCCCCTAACCCGTGCGCATAAAAAGACTTTAACTGGCAGAGCCATACAAGCAGCTGAGCATCAGGGACACAAGCAGCTGAGCACTGGGGATACAAGCAGCTAAGCATCAGGGATACAAATGGCTGAGCAGTGAGCAGAGAAGCAATTGAGTGTCTGAGACTATGCATAGATGCAGCTCACTTCAGACAGTGCAGCTTCAGGGAACGATCACCTTCTTGCACCATCCCTTTTCCAACTCCCCATTCTGCTGACAGCCACTTTCACTTCCATCACCCAACAAAATCCTCGATATACACTACCTTCAATCCATTTGTGCAATCTGATTCTTCCTGGGCACTGGACAAGAACCCAAATGCCGAAAGGGCAAGAACT